ACTTCCAGAATACTTATGTTATGGTTTATATCAATTATTCAAACTCTCCACAGTCGGTCATATGTTGGAAGTAGATATGAATCAAGACTGTCATGGGTTGGCTTGTAGAGGTCTAAGATGTTAGACAAAGCGGGGCTACAACACTCATGAGTGCTCATAAGTTATGAGTATTGGATTCAACCCACGCTCACTTGTATCACTTCATGGAATTTATCTCGAGTGATCGTGAGACGATAATATCATATAAGTCTTCAACCTAGAGATATGATTTGTTGCCTATGAGTTGGTTATGCATTGATTGCACGAAAACGCATTGGTAAACTCGATGTTATAAACCGTGCCTTTGTGTGTAGTTCAACAAGTAGTAGAGCAAACATATGAGTCGAAGTTTATCGTTCCTTCTAGGATTAGAAGCGATATATGGGCCCCTCGATGATTTTGTTTTGACCTATGTACAGGGCCCGGTCAGAACTAAATTGATGTGTTCAGTTAAGTTCTATGTCAAACAAATCGGAAATCGGGAAACAAATGTTGGACAATAAGCAAGACCATGTTCCATGTATTTGTCCGGCTGATATCTAGAACAGAGGATTATATGATCACTTATCTAAAATGGCGCTTCATAGTTCAACAGAGTTTTAAGAGCTACGATTGCTGATCGGTTCCTGAAGTCATACTTGCAACTATAGTTATTTAGACTTATCCAAGTGGGAGACTGTTGGAGATAGTGTCTAAGTCCATAACTATATTTGGTATGTACTTGACCCGACCCGGCATGGTCCATTTGGGTTGCACTTCACCCGAACAATTTACGGATAATCTTTTGAGAATAGTATAAGTTATGATTTATTAATATATTATAAGTTCTAATATATTAATATAAAATCATATTATTTAATTAGTGTTGATCTATAATTAATTTAGAATTAATTTAGAGATCAAAAGTATGACTAATTAAATATGGGCTCTTGTATTTATATAGTGTGGGCTAATGCTTACTTGGAATGGGCTAGGCTTGCATGGAAAGTCCATGGATACTCCATGGAGCTTTAACCCATGGATCTCATGGAAATGAAAAGACATGGGTATTAGGGTTTACATGGATGTAACCCTAATCCACCACACTATATAAAGGAGGCTTTGGTTCTTGAAATAACACTAGTTGATGTGTGTAAACCAAGAGGGCCGATTTCAAGAAGTTTGTGACTATTCTCTCAAGTTTCCAAGTTTGTGGTGATTTGTGACTTCCATTTGAGGCATCCACATTATTGGTGCTAGGCTCTCAAACTCCAAGCAATCAACTACTACTACAAGGTAAGTAATTCTACTAGTTTTATTTGATTCAAGTATCCCATGCCATGCTAGTTAGGATAAGAACCTTGGAAAAATAATTATTTGCATGTATCTTAGTCAAACATAAATCCAAGGTTTCTAGGGTTGCATGTACACCATAGGAGTATTAGAATGCTCAAAACCCATCAGTTACTTCCCAACGGTCACCTCGATATCACCAATAAAATCGAACAGTCTTTAACTTTGATAGTTTCCAAGTGCCACTCTTCGATAGGTAAGGTTGGGTCTCCTTCACTTATGGGAATCATAAATGAAATCATAAACCAGACTTTGCAAAATCTTGGCATGAGTTAGTAATACCTAAAATCTCGAGGATTTTAGTGCCAATGTGTTCCAAATGAAAAGATAAAATAAGAATAACTTTTCTTGGATAAAGTATGATATCAAAGAAGCTTTGATATAAAGGCACTAAGACCCCGAGAAAAGATACTCTTCCTTCGATATCAAGAGAGAAATCAAAGTGCTTGTGTGGTTTCCTGTGAATTACAATCGAATACTTATAGAGAAGTATCGAAGGGCCTCTTTTAACCAATATCGAAGGTATGCTTAATTTTCAAACAAGTTCGCAACTTAACATAAGAGCAAAAGAATGTAAGAAAATACTTGTGTGATCAGTGTAATCAACATCAATTAAGCTTTGGAAAATTTTGAATGACTAAAGATCAAAGTAAATGTTCAGACATAAATCTCATTTTAGAAAAAAATAAAAAACTGCATATATTTGGAAGAAATGTGTTTGGATGAGTACATTTCACTAAGATCACGCATAAGAAATGAAAATGAGATTTTGAATATTTTAAAAGGTATATTGAAACATAAAAGTTTCATTCGTCAATTCCTTATGAAAATCTTGAATAATATATTGTTCTCAGTCAATTCCTGATGGGTCTCACTGTCATCATGGAAAAATGATTTTGAGATCATAAACATAGATTTTTGGCACAACTACATCCTAATTGTTTTGGACTAGAGACGTCTTAGGATATGCGTCATTGTGTATGCAATGTGTAAGAGACTTGGGGTGAAAAATATTGGATAAAAGAGTTCATTGTACCTCTGCTAAAAATATGACCAAGTAGTCATATCTTAACTCAAATTAAGAAGAGAAATGTAGCTTTGAAGACTATTGTTAATACAGGTTATCGGGAAAAAAAATTAGAAGAAAATTTTCATTAAGGCTTCGCAAACAAAGAGTCAGTGAGACTTTGGACAACATGTTGCAACATACTTCTAGGGAGACATAACTAATCAAAGAGAATCGAAGAATACTTGATCCCTGTTGTGCTTCGTTTTTTGCATGCTCGTGTACAACATGTGTACCTTTGATACTTGTTAAAAGAGTCCCTTTGATACTTCTTTATAAGTATTCGATTGTAATTCACGGAAAACCACATAAGAACTTCGATTTCTCTCTTGATATCGAAGGAAGAGTATCTTTGTCCGCGATCTAATTGTAATTCACGGAAAACCACATAAGAACTTCGATTTCTCTCTTGATATCGAAGGAAGAGTATCTTTGTCCGCGATCTAACTGCCTTTATATCAAAGTTTCTTTGATATCGCACTTTATCCAGAATTTTCTTATTTTGCTTCTATCTTTTCATTTGGAACACATTGGCACTGAAATCCTTGAGGCTTTGGGTATTACCAACCCATACCAAGATTTTGTGAAGTGTGGCTTATGATTTCATTAATCATTCCCATAATTGAAAGAGGCCCAACCTTAGTTATCGAAGTTTGGTACTTGGACACTAATAAATCATTGTGATTGTTCTATTTTATTGGTGATGATGAAGTAACCTTTGGGATGAGACGTTAATGTTGCTTTATCATGGATCGATAAAAGCGCTCATTACATGTACACGTGGCGGATGGGGGTGATATCATTTCAGTTACTTACTTTACACGTGGTAGTTGTTCATTGGACCATGGTTTGAATTTAAATTTGACGCCGTTTATAAAAGACAACTTAGTGATACAATTCAATCTTTCCGATTCCCAGAATTTACGCAATAACTCTAACCCTATTTTATGATCATAATCAAAAATCTCTTCTCAATCAACATGTCTACTGCCAATACCGTTGTCGATCACTTCAACACAACTGAAGACGAAGTTTATGTGCCTAATATGAAGATTCAATCCAATAATGTATGTTTTAGTCCGTCGATTGAAGCATACCCTAAAGAGTTGAAGATGATGGTTCAGTGTTTGAATGATTCCATTCTCTCACATGCTTTGAAAACTTGTTTTCCTATTCTTATGAATTGGTTATCTCTTACCGGTTCTACTACTGTATACAATAATATGACTGAAATAGTTATGTTCCAAATGGAATCCAAAGGCAACAAGAGGTTACATAAGAAGCTGTTTTCCCAAATTCTGAAATTACCATCTGAGGGTTCGTTTGAGGTTCCTTCGTTTGAACAGGTACTTCAAATGTTTAATGAAATGGGTTATCAACCTTATTTTTCTCTTGTTAGTGCCTTTAAGAATTCAAATTTTCCAAGAATATGGATTTTTTTTCTTTGGAGTTACCCTTCGATGTTTGACTGGAAGGAATTGTGGTTTCGACAAAGCAACACTTCAATTCTATTATGTTATGGTTGGTCTCTAATACGGGATGAAGGTTAATTATGCTTCATTATTGTGGGATGAGTTTGCTTCATCTATTAAGCACTCCAAGAAGACTATCGAGATCTCCAGTGCTCGTTTTTGGAGTCTCGTTTTACATGAAGCTTATAGTCAAGCATGTATTCAAGTTCTTGAACATGATGAGGTTGCTCAATCCTTCATCTTCATATTCCTAAGTATGCACTTGATGATCCAATTATTTTTCCTGTTGTTGGAAGGATTCCAGATGCAATGCTTCAGTTGGTGTTTGAATCGAATCGGTTGTTGATTCAATACAAAGCTTCAATGAATCTTACTTCTTCTGGTCCTATTTCCAAGAAGGTGACATTTCAGGCAACAGAGGGGAGCATCTAAAGGTTCTAATGTTGTTTAGAAGAAATCTAAATCGAAACCTAAAGTAGTTGTTGATAAATACGTTTCTGCAACAAGTGGTTCTAATAAGGTTGTTAAAGATGATTTTGAAAAGACAGTCCAACGTACTTCTGAGAATGTGTTAGAGAAAGATGTTCAAGATACTTCTGAGACTGGAGTCATGAAATCAAAGAAATCATAGCCGAAGTCTAAGTCTCATGGTGTTGTAATTAAGGAAGTTTCGACTGAGGATGATCAACAAACCAACAAAACGTACAGCTGCTGGAGTGTTGAAACATTTTTAAGAAGAAGAGATCTCAGATTGTTGAAGAGCTTTCAAATACAATGAGGGTTGTTGAGGCAAAAATAATAGTGAAGAGACAGATGATAAGTTTATTCAAATTGATGATGTTCTTGGAAATGTTTCACCAAGAAGGGATGTCATTGTTGAATCGAATGCCTAGGAAACAAGAAATCCTGGTGTCACTATAAACGCATCTAATGTGGATACGAACATCGATTCTGGTGAACCAATCTCAACTTCTCTTCCTGAGACAACTAATGTCACTCCACCCGGAGGTTCTATTTCTAAGTCCATTATGTAGGAGGATAGGTCTTCAAACATCACCGAGAACTTATCTAATAAGGACTCAAATGTTAATATGAGTGAGAATACTTCGACATCTGCTCTAGATACTTCAACTATTCCACCACCTTTGTCTCCACCACCAACTTTGACCATTACACCAACAACAATTCCAGTTGTTTCTCCTACATTTGCAGGTATCATTAATGAGCCTATTGCTTCGTTATTCTCTTCTCAATCAACAGATCAAGAACCGCTGCATAAAAAAGAAGATGAATTCACTAAATTTGTTGAGCTAGAGTTCAATTCTGAAGAAGATAATGTTGATGAAAATGCCATCATGCATACAAGCAGTACAAAATCCTTAACTCTAAACTCAACACTATTCTTCAGTTTTTAAATGGTACTGGTGGGAAGTCCTCTGTAAGCGGGGAAGAAGTTGAGTTTCTGTTAAAGTCCCAAGAGTCACAAACAAGGACTTTGATAGATAATTTTGTTACAAGTTTGGAAAAACGTCTTGTTGCTCAATCTAGTTCTTAAAAACATGAAGTCAAGGAACTGCAAAATGTTGCTTGTGCGCGACATGAAATTTTTGAGATGCTTGAGAACTCTTCGAAAGAGTCCATTGAATCGAATCTTAAGGATTTTTGTTGATTCGTTTTCACAAGAAGTGACAAAGTTGGATAAGTTTTGTGTAGGAATTAAGGACAATGTTGATGTTCTTATGGAAGCAACTCGAACCTTGATTGAAGATCATAGAGCCTTCAATAAGGACTATGCTGGTGACTTGAAGCTCAAGAAGGAATTTGATGGCAAGGTGTTTACAAATATTGAGTCTTTCTCGAAGTTTGTTTTCCATAAACAACTTCGATATCTCAAGACCAAATCTCCTAAGTGGGGTTTTCATTGGAATCATGTTTCAAAACTCAACTTGATTCGATATTGGATCTTGTTCTTCGATTACCCACCAATGCTCCACGCCCATCTATGGACGTGTCACAAGGGGGAGAAAAGGGGGTAGTTCATCGAAAGATGGTGTAGAAGATAAAGTAAAAGTAATTAGGAAAGTGTTTCCTACTCAAATCCCAACTTCACTACCAATGAAATCCATTTTGACAACTTCGACAACGACTACTACACCAAATGTCGGAGTGGATACGTCAAAGCTACAACCAAAGAAAGGTCTGAACATAAGCGAAGGAGGCTCAGGTTCTTCAACAGTCAAAATTGTTACTACTTTGGATCCAATAGATAAAGGAAAAGGTGTTCAAGTGGATCCAACAAAAAAAGAAAAGAAAAAGCTTCAAGAGCTTGAGATCGAAAGAATGAAGCAGCTGAACAGTATCATGAGAATGAGAGTGAATGACCCAACTGATCTTAACAAAGGAGATCGAAACAAGGTGTGGTATTACGAAACAATAGAAAATGTGGTGTATTGTGAATTGGATGTTTCTGATAAAAGACCAGAGAGAAGCTATGACATTGAAGACTCAGATTTCAAACAATTGGACTTTCCAATTAATCATGCCACATTTACTCATGCTCAGTTCAAGCTTGCTGAGAATTATAATGATACATAGGAGTTTAAGAAGATGAAGATTCGTTTTCATGATGTTCTTAGAAAGAATGAAGAAGATGTTTGGTCCTTGGTGAAAATTGTCAAGATTATATCAATAACTCTTGATACTATGTTCGGAGGAGTTTTGCAAAATTATCGATATAGTGTTGTAAGGGCAAACAATGTGCTTTGTGATTTCACTATTTCTGACTTTCCTTTGATGAATCTGAATAATCTCATCACGATTACAAATATCATGGGGGATATGAGTAAACATCAAGTTCAAGACAAAGCTTCATGCATCATTGTATAGGGTCATATCAAGAGCTTCTTAGATTGTTACATTGCTAATCTAGCATTAACAGATTTTGAGTTAGCTAATGTTTTCAACAAGAAGTCAAAGGTTCCCAAGTCATTGATAAAAGGGAAATTCAACATTTATGACTATGAAGATGGTGAAATCATCAATGGGAGATGTCTTTTTAGGAAAGAGCAAGAAAGGTGGGAAAAAGAAATTCTTCTTTCGTACCGACGATATTGAAAGCTATTCAAATCACAATCTTACTAGTGTTCTTCTTCGTATCAATAATTGCATGAAGAATATAAATGAAGATAGAGCAGAGATAAGGAAAATGGTCGTCTGGTACATAGAGATAAGAAGCGTTTTGCTACAAGTGATCAAGACACTACCCTCTGTTTGAAGATCTGATATTGGTCACAAATTAGGAAAATGTAGAGTTATGTTTGTTGTGATATATCGAAGCTTAGGTAGTTGTCTTTATAGCATTGTGTTTGTCAATGTCGAAGATCTTCATGACTTCAACTGTGTATGTATTTTACTAGGCACATTTGTAGGTTCGCTATTAAGGTCGAAGTCCTACTATACATTTTGCTATCGTTGCGTACTCTATAAATAAAATAGGTACATAAGGCAGTTGTAACTTTTGCCAAGCGTGCACTGTACTTTCTCTCTCTGCATATGTACTTGTACCAATCTAGATAAATCAAGCTGAAACAATATCTTATTTACATTATGTGTTCATTTTGTACTCTAATTTTCTTTACGATTGATTGATTACGACTTCACAATAATAGGTCCTATCACAAGAGGGTTCGTGACGGTTTGACATATTTTTATCATTTGTTACATAATATCATAGTTTCAACTCACCAAGTATTTATATAATGGACTTGTAAAAAAATATCATGTTGCGCATCCCACACCCCTTCCTCTGGACCTATGTGAACAGATCATACTAATTTCCAATGTTGGGTTCTAAGAAGCCAATCTATAGAACCACAATGGTTATCAAGTCCCTCGTGGCAGTGAGGTGTTCTAGAATGTTATTACACAGGACGACTGGGAACCCTATTTTGGATGTCCAAATCTCAAGTGATAACAAGTCTCAACCTACCCTAGTATAGATTCATAAGTTAATGATCAAAATCATTTCTAACGAAACCAAGTATTCCAAATTAATATTTAAAATTCTTTTCAAATTAAGTTTTCATGAATGTATAAAATACTTATAATATCATATGAAAATATTAATTTAAAGCCATGAAAATATGCTAAAACATGTACTCTTAGGTATAAACTCACCTTAACTAATGGTAATTATACTACTTCACTTTTAGTCTTGATTGGTTAACTAATGAACACCTAGAATCAACGTTTAGCCACTAATTAACCAAATATGCTCCTTTAGTTATTAGAAAGCTAATAGAAGTGGTATGAGGTCAAACATATTAGTAGAACAAAAGCTACATGTTCGTTAAATCTTTCCAAAAAGGTTACACAAGTCATCTAAGTTTGCACTAGTAACATACTCAACCATACTTCACACATGTCTACCATTTTCGTGGTTGTCATTCCAAATCAACATTACACTTTGTAGATTTGACCTAAATACTTTATTATCTATTCCAATGACTTAGTATGATTATGTAGCATCCAATAACATGACTGAGACATAAAATGACATTTTATAATATCATAAACTTAATTATCTAACTTTAAATAAGTGAAATATGAACCTTAATTAACAATACATACTTACCTAATGTGATTCAAATTGTCTTAATAAGTTATGTTTGTGACAAAACATGAAGTTTCCATGAATTAAAACCAATGTTGCAAAGTCGATAGGCGGTACTAGTGTGACATCCCCATTTTCACGGCTAGAAAAAACCGATTTCATTTATGCTTTTTAATAAAATCAGAGTAACTTTTTAAAGAAAAGTGTTGCGGAATTTGTTCCCAAAACAAAATATGATAAATATTTATCAAAGCATTTCTTTAAAGAAATATATTTTCATTATATTACAAACTCGGGATGTCAACATCGATACAGATCATAAGCATAAACCAAAAACATCATAGGCCACAAAACAAAATTTGGCCTCAAAACAACATAGGCCTTTACAAAATTCTATTTATTTTCTACTGGCCTAAAATCCATAATCTCTCATCAGATCAACCAACTATGCCCTTGCCACTACCTGTAATAAAGGAAACTGAGTGGGTCAGGCTGGGGAGCCTGGTGAGCATATAGGGTTTTCAACCCACAATAAATAAGTTTATTATTTTCAACAGCCATTAAACCCGATTACCCGTTCCCGTTATCCTCACTTTACGTCCCTAAAGCATCTATTATAAGGGACCTATCCTAAGGAATTTCATCAGGATGGACGCTACTACTAAGGGGATTCCTCATCCATATAGGTCCGTAAAGCAACCATGAAGGGGATGGAGCACACCGGTGAACACTCGTTCACAAACACCTACAGGTTGCGAGTCTGCTAGCGTTCCACTGGACTTCCTAGAAAAGTCTGTGGTCGTCATCCATACTCCGCTAGATGACTGGATCAACGTCAACATCGATGTCTCTCATCATTTTATTTCATCACACACCAACTATTTCATCTATCCATGCTTTACCCAACATATTTGTAGATATAAAATACACATACAGTTCAGATATGAAAACGAAGTTTAAATCTTTCATACAACATAGATCTCAAGTATAAATTATATATATATATATATATATATATATATATATATATATATAAAGTTTAGATTTGAAAAGTTTAGATCTGAATTGAGAAAGTCTAGATCTGAAGGAAAAGGTTTAGATCTGGAAGAAAAAAGTTTAGATCTGAAAAGAAAAAGTCGAGATCTGGAGGAAAAAGTTTAGATCTGAAGGAAAAAGTTCAGATCTGAAAAGAAAGAGGTTTAGATCTTTCATCCAACATAGATCTCAAGCAAACAGATAATATATATACACATAGCACGAAATTTATATAAAATACTTCATATCTATGTGTAAGATGAGAGTGACTATACACTCACCTGATAAGGGGGTGATTTGGACAGCGCTTCGCTTCTTAAATTAATTTCCTTCAACGAAACCATGAAGTTTTCTTGAAAACCAGGCTCTGGGGGGGCAGAGTTTTCAAACCGAAAAACTCTTTTTCTCGGAGCCTTCGGACGCTCTGGGGCTTTCTTCTAGTGTTAGGGAGGTTTCCAAGGCTTCGGGCTGGTTTAGGGTGGCTAGAGAGAGGATAGAGAGAGAAAGAAGTCATAAAAAGTGTGAAAATTAAGGCTGGCCTCGCAGCCCTTTTATAGACCGAGAGGTCTCGCAATACGCGGGGCGTACCTTGGATCTACGCGGGGCGTAAGGGCAGGTGTCAGATCCTCGGTGGTGCATCGTGGCCGCTTCGGAACCGCAGAAGGAAAGAAGTCCACGCAGCGTTCACTCCTCGGACGCAAGGCGTACCTCGGACGGGAGGCGTTCCTTAGACTACGCGGGGCGTAGCCTCGCACCCAGCTCGCAATT